ATCATATTAGACATGTTAGACACAAAATCTACCAAAAAATGATCAAGAATAATTTAATAAAAAACATTCCATGTTTAAACATTTTGTCCAAATAATTCTATTTTTTTATGCCTCCTCAGGAAAACGTAGGTTCAGGGAAACTGTTATCCGTTTGTTTTTTCTTCGCCAAAAATGAACTAAGATGGCGGCTGCCGGCTGGCACAAACCTGATTGAGAAAGGTTCATGAACTGGGCTCCTATTCAACACGCACGGATGATTGACGGATGAGGCACAAAGACATATCTGAAAGACAGACAGCACCCTCGAACCGCCCCTTCTCTTCTCATCTCCTCCTGACTCCCCCGCTCCTCCCCTCATCTCTCCTCCGCCCCACCCCACCTCCCTGCTCCCCTGTGCTCCCCTCTCTTCTCTCCATATGTCTAAGAACCTGTTGTCATGGCAACCTCACCCAGCGCAGCAGAAGGGGGGTTGTCGACTTTATTTCAGACAAATAAGCGTTGCAGGTCTCATTTATGATTTTTTTAAAATGAAAACACAGAGATGAGAGATCAAAATGTGTGTGTGTCTATCAGTGTTGTGTCTGTACACTAAATACTGGTACCGGTAATACATGTCATTGCCTCAATTGAAGTGAAAAAAAATCTTTATCAAATATTGATTATTTTGTATGAAATATTTTTATAACCTACATAACTATCAATTCAAAACTCCAATCTTCTATTCAAATTCATTCTGAAAAATAACTAGGGCTCCTTCTTTGCAATAGCCAGACTCAAGTATGGCTGATATCTTGAATGCAGCATCAGCAACCCCTATAGAGGCCTATTGTTTTGCTTTGTGTCTCCCCCCCGCCCCCCCTCACTTTATGCTCATCTGCAACTTTTGAAAGGGCAATGCAAAGCGCTAATGTAAACAGAGCTGTAGGATAGAGGTCAGTAGCTCCACACACACAATCTGCCATGGCGTCCACCTGCATTCATTTTACTGATGATGTATGTGTTCCTGCAGAGGAGAGGAGAAATACTTTCTGAATCTGCAGCATGCTGCTTAGTCTAAGGCTCAGAGACACACAAACCTGTCTTTATTCAATATCCGTATGGGGAAATTAATAAACATGCAACCTTGACACAGTTTCACCCCTTCTCTCGCTCGCTCGCTCCCTCTCTCTCTCTTTCTCTCTCTCTACCTCTCTCTCTCTCCCTCACTCTCTCGCTCCGTCGCTCTCCCTTTACCTTGTGTTGACTCGATCGCAGAGCTCCCCTCCCCCCGTCCAAGAGCAAACTTCTCTGTTCCTGCAGCCAGAAGTGCTGAGTGCTGCTGTTTGCTTTGTACACTGAAATGCGCTGGGGCTGTAAGCTGTCCCCAAGCATCTGGTCCCTGGAGGAGAGGAGAAGCAAGGACTGTGAGGTGTGTGTGTATGAGGGGGGGGGGGGGGGGGGGGGGGGGGGGGGGGGGGGGGGGCATACTATTATGCGTGTTGTACCTTTATTGTTTATCACTGATCCTTGAGTAATTAATTGTCAAACAAGGTAGCCAAACCTGTGTGTGTGGGAGAGAGAGAGAGGGTATGCGAGGAAGTGTAGCCTCCTGTAGCTCAGTTGGTAGAGCATGGCACTTGCAACGCCAGGGTTGTGAGTTCGATTCCCACGGGGGGCCAGTGTGAAAAATGTATGCACTCACTAACTGTAAGTCGCTCTGGATAAGAGAGTCTGCTAAATGACTAAAATGTAAGTGCACAGGTGAGACAGAGGAAGAAGGCAGATGAGAGTGTAACCCCGGAAAACACCATATTTATTTAAATTCATTAGTAGTTCTGACATGTTTAAGTTGATCATGTACGTTATGCATTACGTTAATACTAGGTTGACTTAGAATGAATTACAATAAATCCAGTAAAATCTCACTTACACATGTAAATGCAAAAGTAATGCAACATTATCTGAATCAATCAATCATCTTATGCTATAAGGCGCATAAGCACAATCATATCTGTACACATGGTTATAACCAGAATAAACTCTAGGCTCTTGTTAAAGCCTTGTGTTCCCAGAAAAACTCAAGGCTCTACAGTATAACTTTAGGCTGTGTCTGAGTGCCTGCAATGTGAAAAGTTTTGAACTCACTATGCAATATGAAAGTATTGACTGGGTTCAACCTTATGAATGCAAGTTTAGAATAGTTTTGAACCCGTATTAATACTAGTGTCAGTGCATGACAGAGCTGTCACTGTGATGAGGGAGCTGAGCATCTTTGGGAAAGAGGGAAAGGGGAGTACAGATCCATCAGACAAGAAAGGTTTCAAACTATGTAAATGTCAGTGTAGACAGACATGTAAACAGGCAGGCAGCCCGTTACTGAACCTGTCAGAGAACAACTAGAAAGGATATTTGGACAGGTGCTTAAAACCAGATACGGCTAGCTGAGCCTCTGTGTCCACGAGATAATGGTGCATATTTAACAAGATTAAACTCTGCTAATTAAGTCAAGTATCAGTCCATCACAATCATAATCATAATCATTATCATGTACATCAGAAGCATCATCATCATCACACTGTATTGGGTACATCCTGTTATATTGTTTTCTGAAAACCAAATCACTTATAGATGTTGTCAAGCATTCCTAATATGGTCATCATGTTTTATTGCAGGAAGCAGAACTAATGGTGTGTATTTAAATTACTTTAAATTACTGCGCAAAATATAAAAATACATTGGGCACAGTGCACTGACTTTTACAATTATCCTCCCTTTGATTCAATCAAGCTCATCTTTTTCAGGCCATAAGCCATGAAGGGCATTGGACTTAATATTTATGAATTAAGTCTGTATGCATTTTACAGTTTATTTAAGTTCCTGTGAAAACTAATGAACTAATGAACTAAAAATATATGGCTGTAGGGAGCACTTTTGGCAAATTTTTTAGACAGAGGCAATAAGATTTTGTCGATTAACTGTTGACATGCAATGGAAGAGCAGATTGAATAAAGATATAATTTCCATGTGAAATTGGTCCATAACAATTTAATAACAAATTAAATGCAATACAGGCCTACAACATTTTATTTTATAATAAGCATTGTTAACAGATCAATAATAATAGTACAATTATTAGTAAGCCTATTCAATCAGGCTATAGAATACTGTTCTTCTCGGTCCGTTTCAATGCTGGATGAAATTGTTTTGAACAAAAGTGTTACAGAGTTGCTTGAAAAATCCAAAGAGCCCTTGTGAGTCTAAGGTCACCCAGATGAAGGATCCTCTTTCTCTCCTTGACTAACTGACCGGTCACGTCGTCAGGAGGCAAGACAAAGGTCACGGGGTCAGGGTTGAACTCTGGAGTAACTGCATACATTAGCAAGACTTGCACAAGCTTAAGTGCATGTTTCCATAACCCTATAAAATAGTGGCATATTCATTCATATAAAACTATGCATTGAAAATCCCAAAATATAAGTAAAATGTTCCACACTTGTAATTAATTTTAAGGAAGGTATCGGTAAGTAGGCCAATCATTTACAATATGTAATTGAAGTAATTCTGTGCATAAGTAATTGAAATAATTTCGTGCTTCCAAATGTTTTGTAATTTTCAGCCCTGCAACATATGTATTGGTGATAAATAGGCCTAACTCACGCATGCAAAAAGCTAATCAACTAAACTGAATTAGGTGGGCTATTCGATATTTCTGAAAAGAATATGGGTTTATTCCCTTGCATGGTTTAAATTTTAAAGGTGACAAACTATAGGCCCTATATTAACACCACGGATAACCTGTTACTCCGTCAATAACGTTTTTATGAGGCATGTGAACGAACATTTAACGAATGCATTTCAGAGGTATAGTGGCCTCGTGCCCAGTCAATGTATTGGTTTATTTACAAGGGAACACGACAGTTTAGATAGCGTTTTATTGTTGAACACATGAGTGCTGAAACTGAAGGGTTCAGAAGTGGATTTTATTTTCTGATGTATGTTTATGACTAGGCTATTAGCCTACTCGTTTAGGAAAGAGGATTCTAAATTCGTTTGCAGTTACAGTTTTGTTGAAATGCGTTCAAATATTTGATTCAAATGGTCGGATTAACGTTGATCAATACACTAAACCTGCCAGTCAATAAAACTATTAGTCAATTACCAAATTAATCCTTCTGCGCTCGCGGGATAATTAACACCATTAAAGAATAGAAACAGAAAGAGTAAAACAAGAGAGATAGAAAGATTAAGAGAAGAGCACAACAATGTTGAATAGAGGTGGAAAAAGAAAAGCAATAATTATTCTTATTCAAGAACATGAAAAATCTAAACAAAATAATAAATATAATTCAAATAACTTTTCATTTATTCCAAATTTGTATCAACAAAATATATTACTGTAGATAGGCTATTGACAAAAATCTATCAGACGTGTACAATGACCTATATTGGAAATTATTTTATAAATAGTTTTCAGCCATGGTGCTTTTTTATGAATGAGATGTTCTTTCCCCTTTTAAAACAAGAGAAAACCCTGACAGAAATGTAAATACTTTTTAGTCAAGGACATTTCATGTAGGCTGTTCCGAAGAAAGAGCTGGCCACAAAATTATTGTAACGCTGCTTTAATGACATGTAGGCTAATAGATAATAAATAACAACTCAATAAATAAAGAAATACATATAATACATATAATAATAATAATAATAATAGTGGTTGTCTGATTAAAGTTATGTTATTTGGTATGAACTCATAAAGTGAACTCATAAAGTGCCTTAATCATTATATTACTTCAGCTGACACCGGAGAACAATTCAAATGTATTCTTGAATAGTCTACTCCAATTAAAAGTCTCAGGTAGGCTTATATGCGCGCGCCTCTAAAATTAGGAATCACTGAGTCAAACATTTACAATTACTCATTCTTGAGTTCACAAAACTTACCCTGTTTTCGTGGTTTTCGTGTAAAACAACATGATCCTGATTAACCAATTAGGCTAACTAAAATTCATCCAAACGGAGAATCAAACCAGCTGCAGGTTGGTGACACTGTCACTATTTTTAGGCCTGCACACCTTGTTTTGTAACGCATGAGACAGGTCCTCTGCTAGTTGATGTTTGGGAGAGCACGAGGTCGGTTCAGGTGGTCCAGCAGAGGGGCAGGTGTCCAAGCTGTTGGAGCGTGAGCTTTCTGAGCATCTCGAGGACGCCAGAGGGGCCACGGGGAGAAGAAGGCCCTCGCGCATTAATTTCTTCTGTTTCATGCGCCGGTTCTGGAACCAAATCTTCACCTGTGGCTCGCTCAGCTGCAGGGCGTTCGAGATCGCCAGTCGTCTGGCCGCGTCAAGTACTTGTTGAAGTGGAAATCCTTCTCGAGCTCCGTGAGCTGTTTTGTGGTGAAGTTGGTCCTTGGTACCCGGTTAGCAGTACGATGGTGCCCATCGGTGGGGATGCTGTGTTTACCTTCACCTCCTCTGTCCATACTGACCCCCGGTGCAACTATACTCAAACCACAGGCCATGTGCATCTTGGCTGAAAAGACAGTTAAAACACAAGTATAGCATAATTATATCGTCTGAATTCAATGAAGTAACCATCCATAAAATATATATAGCACAAAATGTATGGCTATGGATTGTTTGAAGACAAGGAGCATAAAAGTATTTCTGAAACTGACCATGGAGACCACACTGGCTGCAACATAAAGTAATCATATCTAATGAAGGTTTCAGGGGGATTAAAGTAATTACACAATTTTAACATTTAGCAGACGCTCTTATCCAGAGCGATTTACAGGAGCAATTAGGGTTAAGTGCCTTGCTTACAGATTTTTCACCTAGTCGGCTTGGGATTAGAACCAGCAACCTTTCAGGTTACTGGCACAACGCTCTTACCCACTATCTGCCGCCCCAGGTAAAACATATATTCAATATGTTCATCAAGTGAATTGGTTATGCGTATCTGTATTGAGATCAATACACTGGATGGCAATGAGGAATACAAAACTTGGCACTAAATAGCCACATGCAGTTCTATTTTTTTTTGCAGTGCCCAAGATTCAGCTATGGTTCAGAGACATGGATAAGTAAGCCTCATAGCTTTTGCTCTAATCACACACTGAACACTCGACTAAAACCAGACTTAAACAGCTGACCCACTAAATCCTCGGGACTAGAGTAGGTGTGATGAAATTGGCATGACTACTTCATACGTGTTTCTTTATCCTGGTCCTGGAGACCCAAAGCAGTGCACATTTTAGTTTTTGCCTTAGCACTACACACCTGATTCAAATCATAAAATATTGATGATGAGTTGATCATATTAATCAGCTAGGATAAAAACAAAAATGTGCCCCGCTTTGGGTCTCTAGGACCAGTATTAGGAAACACTGATTATAGGTGTTTGATTATTAGAAAAAAAATGTACGTCTACAATTCCTCCGAAATAATTTAACACTATAACACATTGTTGTCCATCAGTGATGGAGATACCAACCCCATCGTGGTATCTGTCTATGCTGATTGTAGGTGGCTGTCTGTATTGCTTTATGACTGAGTCAATTGACTGGTACTGTTTCTGTACTGTACCATGGACTCAATAAGTCCAGGTATTGGATGTAATAACTTATATCACAATTCATAGTAAAGGTATAGGCTCTCTTACAGGGGCCTCTGTCAGAGCCATAGAAAGGTCAGCTCATAGGATAAGTCTTGAAATCCATGTTTTAGACAAAGGAGAATGTCAAGGACAGGTTTACCTAACCTATAACCTGAAATAACAGAGCAATAGCCTATGGTGACTATGAAGAAGCCAACACAGACAAAACAATACAGGAAGTAATTAGGCACTTGGGATCTCAGGAATAGAACATCACATGTACATTCTGATTAATGACTTCTAAGATAATAGAATTGAGGCTGGCCAGAAGGAATAAAATAATCAAACTGAAAATATTTGAGGAATGACTTGCACGCTTTAGAAATAGCCAGCCAGCAAAGCCAGGGCAAGCCAAGGAGAGACTGAGACAGAGACAGAGACAGAGAGAGAGAGAGAGAGAGATAGAGAGAGAGAGAGAGAGAGAGAGAGAGAGAGAGGAGAGAGAGAGAGAGAGAGAGAGATAGAGAGAAAGAGAGGAGAGCAAGCTATCTAGGACAATCATAGCGTATCTAGAGCGAGATCGCGAATCTCTCTCGCGCTCTATAGCTCTCTCTCGCTAGCTATCTTGGAGAGAGGAGAGAGAGAGAGAAAGGATCAATATACATTGCTTCAGCCATCTGGGCATCCTGCCCACAGTAATTCAGGTGCTGTCAGAGCATAATTGAAGAATGACGCACTGGGAGTATATACACTGTACCAGCAGATCAAGTTACAGAGGGGTTGTGTGGAGGCCTTTATGCATGAGAGATTATAGGGATGCTTTGTTTCATGCCAAGACCAATATACCCTCTAGAAAAAATGTTGCTGCTGCTTTCACTAATCATACTACTGGTAACAATGTAGCACTAATGAGATATACTCCAACCCTGGAAATCATTCTTATGATACTATGTCTATACTATATCTACCCAGCTGTTTGTCTGATAGGTTAAAGCCATCAGACAGTCATATACAAACGCTGGCTAGAGGACATGGATACTAGTCCTGGCAAGCAACAAAAACAATCAATATAAATCAAAACATATTAGATGACAAATTGTTGTATTGTAGGCTTACTGATGTCTCTGAGACAGACAACAAAGAAGGTATGGCATCTTTAATTAACCTTTTACTGCAGTGGGCTAAATTAGGGTCACACAGAGTGATTCTTGGTAGTCTTAAACAAATCTACTTTGAAACAAAAGTACACACCTCACACAGTGGTTATGGGCTTAAAAAAAGAAGACACCTGTACCATGTCAGATATAGAGTTGAAATGTATTTAATTTGGAGTTTGCATCCCAATTACACTTTATATATATCACAGATGACTGAAATATAACAAAACTGTTTGACACAGAAATCACCGGATCATTGTTTAAAAAAAGTAAAACATATATATTAATAACATTCCACTGATGAGGCCAAAGAGGGCGCTTTTGGTCATTGACCGCAGGAAAGGGCCACACTCCAGGGCCTGTGTTCATTAAGTGTCTCAGAGTAGAGGCGCTGATCTAGGATCAGGTTCTCCCTGTCCATATAATCTTACTCAAGTGATCTAAAAGGCAAAACTGACTCCTATTCTGAGATGCTTCGTGAATACAGGCCCAGATTGCCCATCATGATAGCACCAGACAGAAGGAGGTCTCTATTTGAAAAATATTTAACTGTGTAGTGAACAGTATCACCCCAATAAAGCACCTCTTTGTTCAGATGTGTTGGAGATGCAATTATACACAAGGCTGTGGACTCACAGTTCTCCCTTCAACTCTGGATACTCATATTTAGCTCTTGTGTGAGGTCTTGGTCGGATGAGAAATTACTTTTAATGGGCAAAGTCAAGAAACCACAAGTATTCTACATGAGTTTTTAGTAAGTCTGATCTAATTTCTGTGAAATCAGAAGGTATATTCTAAATGCACAGTAAAGACCGATGAGTTGTTGGTTGACTGATGATATGTGACAATGACTATGTTAAAAAGGTGGACACATGTAAAGGTGCTTGGCATTGAGATCAATACACAAGGCTCTCATTACTATACCGACAGATAATCAATAAGCAGAGAGCTCTAACGTTTTAGGGAGTGAGTTTAGCTAAACTTAGCTGTGCACACTGCACACTCAGGCAATGTTGCCTTTCCAGAGCACAGTGATGCAAATTAAAGCAAGGCAGAATTAGATAGAATAAAGCTATTCTATTATTTTCTAGTGTGGGAAATATCTCCATCCTTTTCTGTGCCTAATAGGTACAGAGAGGCAGGTCTATACTCTGTATAGAGCCACTACACCTGCCCCAGCATCCCCTGCCTTTTCCCCAGTCCATCCCAATTACTCCAATCTGGGTAGAATTGATGAATACATAGCTAGGTAAATTGTCACATACCGTGTGGTTATTGTGGTTGACTGATTCAGGAATTATAAGTGTTCAATTATACTATTCATATTTTATAGCCTATTTTTTTTGTTAAAAGTTAATTCACAATTATGTATTTATTTTTGAAGCCATCATTTGGTGCAATAGGCTAAACGAATGCCAATAAATACTTGTCTTTCTTTTTTTAAATGTAGTTTCTAAACTTCAGCTACGCACAAAAACACGTCAAACTTGTTTTGTCTGTTGTACAGTAGCCTACAGTAGCCTAGCCTATACTTTCTCACAGCACAGCACTGTCCTACATACAGTCGCCGATTTGAGAATATGGCACATCTGTTGCAGACTACTTTTCAATATATGATGAGTAATCAATAACAGTTCACCAAAAGTTACATGTAGATGTATAAACTAATCGATAACTAATGATACAGTATTCATACATCCTTTAAGACTTGCTACTGGTTTTCGTATCAAGAACAAATAAAAAGTTGTACAAATTATTTGGTCAATAAGATAGTTATTGTCTTTCCAAATGGGAACGTGAATTACATATCCAAAACTTACCCGTCCGAGGTTGACTTCTCTTTACCTTCATCCACTCAAAAGTTTTGCTCCTGTGACTTAGTTCAGGTACCTTACACTTGGGGTCCAAGTGAGAGCCACTGTCCACAACAGCAAAGTGAATCTTAGGCCCATCATGAGTGTAGATTTGAATGTGCGCATTTATAGACCCGAATTCACAGTTTGCCAGCGCCTCAGTCGCGGTGTTGTGTGTGGAAGAGGAGTATCCAAGTCCGGGAAGTCGTGCTCGTACGCCCGGAGGTAGGAGGGGAGACGAGAGTAGTGGAGGCAGGCCGGTGGCGTGGTGGAAAAGCCCTGACTCTGTGTTAAGGGAGGGCTGCTCGAGCCTGAGTAGACCCGGAGCTGACTTACCGTGCAGTCTGTTGCAGAACTGGCTCCGAAAAATATGGGTAACAGTGTTGCAATGAATATTCCCTGCCAACCTCTGCTAAAGTTTTGCCCTAATTGCCAGCGATAACTTTTGCCCTAGCTGCCCCTGCGAACAGAGAGCTACTCTCCCCATTACACGCTAACTCTTGATATGAATTCACCTGCGCATAATCATTGGACCGGTCAAACGGTTGTAGAAAGCATGGAGTGGCTATAGCTAACACCCAATAATGCATGCATGGACCAAGATAGCGACCATGCATGGACAGTCAGATGGGCATGCCCTGGAGAAATTCGATCTCTGATTGATGGAGATGACGTGCCCTCTTGGTCTTGGCCAATAGCTGGACATCTCTGTCATCCATCGGGGACAACACTGATTAGCCAAGCCAAGCAAGTTGTAGATTCATTTGAGGTGGCCAAATGAATGGACTCCAGTACAGCAGACAATGCCAGTGTAGACCATCATTCGTGGTCACTTTCTTTTCTCAAACAGGGCCGTTTAAATGAGTAGGATTTAC